ATTTGGGGATATGATTGGAATAATAGTGTGGTAACATTAAAACAGAAGTTTTAAGCGATGGATCTTTAGTATTTATTTTTGCAATACAATGTTGTGATATGACAACTTTTGCTTTTCAAACACACATCTACTACTACAAAGTGAAACATAGGAAAACACAAAGGGAAGAAGATGACTACAAGTGTTCCACTGAGTGTTTACTCACACAAGAATTGTGTAACAAGGTTATATAAATGCAGTGATTTATTTTTATTGCAATCCTGTGTTCTTGTTGTTGTCCTGGTATGATAAAGTGAAACAAATATTTGGATCTTAAACATAATTTTAGTTTAAAAATATATCTTTACACACACACACACACATGCACACGCACACACACACGCAGTTATGATAAACCCACCTTTGCAATGCTGACAAACATTTATCCCTCTGGGGTACAAAAGAAGAAGCACAATCACAGAAATGCAACAACCTAGCAGAACTCCAAGAATAAGGACAACAGGGCCTAATCCTGGTCCTACATTAGTTAAAAGAGAGAGAAAGAGAGACCGTTTAATTTAATATGTGATCCTCGAATTTATCAGTTGTTGCAGAAATGTTCTTATAATGAACAATATTCTATTTTTGTAGAGGTAGAGACAGCTTATGATGAGTATTTGTATTCATAGCACAGTATTTGTGCTGCTGTTAATGCTTGCGGAAGTTTGGAACCTCTATTGAGTCTGCAAAGCATTGGTGACTTTTATGCACTATGCACTATGCTTCTCAACACTCAACAACCCCACACTGTAACTTTATGTGGTTTGCCACTTTGAGGCTTTGTTACTTCCACTGCAATAAAAACATTTATACTGGAGCATGTAGGAGGAAAGAAATTTCACAAACTGTTGTCACTGTGGCATCCTATTACAGCACCATGCTTGAATTCAACAAGTTTGTAAGAACAATCTGGTGTTTCACAAATGTTTATGAAGGCAGACTGCATGGAGTGTGCTTTGTTTTTGTGTTTTATGTACCTGTGGCAATTAAAGTGAAATGATAACTATTAAGATTAAACCATTAATCATAGATAACTCAAACATTAGAGTTCTGGAAGGCTAGATGAAACGAGCAGTGGTGCATTACATTTGTCTGTACTATGTAACTTGAATAAAGTGTGATATTTAGAGACTATCCCAAGCATTGTGTTGCATGGAATTAATAACATCGCATTACAGTACTTAGTACAAAAAACATCAGACTATCTCTAGTAAGTCTTTTATACTTTAATGCAAGATAATTTAAGATTTAAAGACAAATACAGATACATACGTGTCTCCACCTTAGTTCCTTCACCCAGCAGGATCTCCCCACATGTCACAACAGCACAGTAGTAAGTCCCGATATCGGAGGAGTTCTGTATCGTTCTGGTCAGGCTGTAGACACATCGTCTCTTAAGAGCTTCATCACTGTTGTTCACGAGAGGGTAAATGATGTTTGGAGCAAAACCTTCAGATCCAGCTCTGAACCAGTACGCTCTGTGGTCATCTGGACATTGGAGTGCTTTTTCTTTGTTCTTGGAGAGAACTGAACATTCGAGTGTCACAGAGCCTCCCAGACGAACAGACTCTTTCTCTGGATTTTGTTTCACATAGACCGATTTCTGATGATTGTGATCTGTGAATTAAGGCAGATTTGTAATATAAACTTTTTGTAATTGATTAAACTGATTTGCGTCAGTATCACTGAACTGTTCAGACATTGGTACAAAAAGGGAAACATCTTACCTTTCACAGCCAAGAATGTGCCACTGCTTAACATCTGTGAATATGTGGCCCGCGTTTGACAGAAATATGTTGCTTCATCCTCTTTGCTGACATTTCTGATAGTAAATATATCTTTGTTCAATGTGAAACGTGAATCTTTAAACGCATCAGATAAAGTTATTTTGTCAAGAATAACAGAAGCAACACTTTGGGGCAAGTGTCCCAGAGACTGTTTATACCAATGAAAGGATTTTAACTTCTTCTCAGAGACCTCACAGCCAAAAGTAACATTGTCACCAAGGTCAACAACAGTCAAAGAGATCAACTGAGGAACCTCTGAAGTTTGAATCTCGGCTGAAGAAGAAAGACAAATAACAACAGAGTTACAACACAAATGGACAAAATCAATGCTATTACATTAGAAAGGTTGTTACACAGCCATCACTGAGATGCACGACGGGTTTCACGAACAGTGCAGTGCAAGAAGATGTTTCCCATCATATTTTGCACTTACCTGGTGCGCAAAGAAGAATCAAAGCTGTTATTCTCACAATCATCGTGGTGCAGCACTCTAGTCTCACGCTACTGATCTCATCTTGCCCATATGGAAGGTTTAGTCACAAGGTTATAAAGGTTTCCAAAGCAGAAATCAGTGATTGGCTGAAATGTAGGAAATTACCCCTCCCCCATTCAGCAAACCTTTGTTCAATTTTCATTTGATAAAAGACGTCTTATATCAAATGACATAAAAGTATGTCTTTCTTAGTACCTTCTGGTAGCAGTATGTTATCAGTTCTCAGTGTCTTTATTAAGGCACTTAATAAGGAAGTTATTGTTTCTGTAATTATTAGTTGATTATTGTTAGTCACAAGCTCTGTAAATCTTTAACATCAGAAGATACTACTTTGCCACTTTGTATTAGTATTTAAATGATGATTTTTGTTGTGTCTACCAGCACAAATATAAGGATACAAAGATGCAAAAGTTTCACAAAATCATTTTCACTTCTTTAATTTCACGATTTTTCTATAAAAATCATGAATATACCTGCAGTTGATGTAGGGTCATGTTTGACCGTGCAAACTGTTTATGATCACTTAAAAACACATTAGAATTAGTTCACGGTGAGTTTTCTTACTTTAGTTTCACTTCTTAAGGTAGACACAACCCTGCTGTACCTGTGTTAAGCACTAAACAGGAAGCTTTCTGACTATATTTGCTCAGTTAGGCCAGATATCCACCTGTGATCAAACAATTTTATTAGACACCACAAACTGAGATACAGAAGGGTGAAAAAAGTTCTTGTAACCCTTCCGGATTTCCAATTTTTTGTATGTTTATCAAACTTATATGTTTCAGATCAGTAAAACAAATTGAAATATTCAACGATATTAAACACAAAATGCAGTTTCTAAATGAAGGCGTTTATTATTAAAGTGGGGAAAAAATCGAAATCTACTTGGCCCTATGTGAATAAGTGAGGAGCAACCACTTTTTCACAGTATGCTTGCTTCTCTAAACAAAACTTCACTGATTTCTTGGATTGAAATCAATGGTTTGAGCCTTCTTGGATTACTAAGCTCAGTCATTCGCTCTAGCAAACAGGAAACAGTGGTGATCAGTAAAGCTTCTAGAATTGTAGCCTCCATTTCTCCTGTATGTTTCTATTATAGAGTAACTATGGTGATCACTTCTTTTTCTTCTTTTTGGACTGGTTTTCAACTTTGCTTTGTGTTCTTAGTCTCTTGTTCCTACATAAACACTAAAATAAACATTCTATCTATGTCCCTATGAGGTATTCCTCGCCCTATTGCTGCTGTTAATGGGTGGGTCTGTGGTATTTCATGTCATATACATCAGCGGTCCTTTTTGCGGCACTGATCCGGTTTAATGACAGACAGTATTTTCATGGACCGGCCTTTAAGGTGTCACAGATAAATACAACAAAATAAAATGATACGACCAAGACAAGAACTGTGGTATTTTGTAAATATTATAATAAACACGAATTCACTCTGCAAAACCTTTTTAAAATGTTACGCCAACAACATTGAGAGTTGGCACATTTCAGGAGAAGCATTTCCTCTCTGTTTCTTAATGCTCTCTGGTTGCCATGGTAACACGTAAACATTTCTTTCAAAATAAGACACACAACTACAGCACGTGAAAAGACCCAGGTAAACCCAGTTAACGATAAAAACCCTGAAAACCATAAATTTCACACCCGAGCCTCAACTGTCGCAGCCCGGTACCAAACGGCACATCTGTAGCCGGGAGTTGGGCACCCCTGATATACATGTTATGGTGTAACACAAAAGCAATGTGTAATGAATAGCATTCTTAGATATTATATTAGATATTAAATAAAGTACTGCATTACTTTTAATAAAAGTAACAAAATAATATATAATACATTACTTTATTTTGAGTATGACCCCAACAGATGGATCAAACTACTGTAACATTAGCGTTTTGATTGTTTAAGTTTCATTAAAATTCTATGAGTGGAGTGTTATTGCTGTCAGCAGTTTGGTGTTTTTAAACCAGACCTGACAAACGAGAAACTTTGTCAGGTCTGCACACCTAAACGGTAGCGTAAATAATGCTTTATGGTTTTCTTGGAATATAATAAGTATTTACTTAAATCATAAATCAACCATAGAGTAATTTTGCCTGACTTTTAAACAAAGTAATTTCTTTAATTTCTTAATTTTGTAATTAATTCTGCTAACTATTAGAAAAAAAAATGCTCTTTGTCATATTAAAAAAGCACATATAAAAGTGTTATTAATCACTGAGCTAGAGCTTCATATGTACATATCAGAACTTTTTTCTCATATCGTCATTATTTTCTGAAATGCCCATGTCAAATCTTAAGGTAACAGCTAACAAGAAATTCATGCAGAGACACAACGTCCCCTTGCTAATTTGTCAGTAAATTCAAGAGCATGGCACATTTTCAGCTTTTAACTATAATTAATGTTAAAGACTAATTTGTTTTAAGTCTGAATTTCTTTGTGACAATATTTTCCAGCTATGCAAAGTAACATTCAACAGCTTCACTGACAAAAACAACACTTGTGATAGGCCATTTCTTCAGTGGCCAATCACTGAAGCTGTTTACCCAGCACAGATCTCACTATGAGCCACTATGAGACATAAAGTGAGAGAAGAGCTACAAAGCACTTAAGCAGGGCTGATTTTATGTTATGTTAGTTTAAACTTGTTATCCTGCCTATGTACACTGAAAAACTGTGTCTGTCTTTCTAATGATTAAACAAAATCAAAACCAGCACCTGCTGCATCTGCAATAAAGTAATATATAGTATGATTTTAATACAAATTTTATTCATGTAATATAACTGTTTCAGTAGCTGTTGATTTAGACAAGCTGAACGTCCATCACTGTGTTGCGTGATGGGCATTGGTACATTGGTAAGGATGTCAAACGTACTTTTTTGTTTTTAATTTATCAAATCATTTGAAAAGCCCGCTCTGGGACCAGTGAATGATGAGCGCCTCCCCTCACTTCTTTATAACTGCCAATGAAAAACACCCTACCACAGCAAGATCACAGAATGACCAAGCAGATCTGAATGTGTGCACGTGTCCCTTTATCTCATAACATCTGACAGCTCCTGATTGGATATGAATATGAGTCATACATAGTGTAGTGTTATGGCAGCTTCCTAAAATAGATAAAAGTAGCTGGAAGGAAAGCCCCTTTGCATTCATGACCTTGTTTGAAAGCCCAGCCACAGCAGTGCTTAAGTTTCCATGTATAAAATCTACTTGTCTTAGCTAACAAAACAAAATAATAATAGATTATTGGTGCTATGCTTTAAAATATGCAAAAGTTTTTTTTCTGTATGCAGCTGTGACCACATGCTGACAGGAAAATTACAGTAAACTAACTGATTGAATTGCATGGAATATGTATGTGTCAAAGGTCTAATCATCAGCAGACTTAAGACCAGCTGTCTTATTTATTTTTAGGTTTGTTTGTTTTTTTCACCCAAGTTCATATAACATTTGTGTGTTACACTGGTACATGTGCCTCACTTGAGTCAAAAGTTCTCATCACTTTCAGTAAACGTAGTTTTGTAACACTGAGAATAGTGTTGTGAAGTGAGTATAGTGGATGGAGACCACCTCCCCAACTCTGTACGTTGCTGCATGTGTTTCTTGCTGCTTAAGCAGACTGGGCGGGTTATCATTGATAATATGAAGTTTGTAACTGTTCTTTGACAATAACGTTGAATCTAATCTTCTGAATTGGCTCTTTTATCGTTATGCATCTCTGAAATGTTGCAAACACAACACTTTCTGTATTTCTTATCCTACACACATTTTTCCTAGGACAGTATATTTACTTATATTAACATAAATTAAATCCTGAAGAGGTTAAAGAGGTTTCCGAAGATGAAGCAAGGTGAACAGCTGGCAGCAGAAACCCTTTTGTGGATGAGAAGGTGGCCAGCAATGAATGATGCAGGGCCTCTCTGGAGGTTAGACAGGAGACCAGCAGATTCAGAGCTCCACTAGCAGACTGGAAGATAGCCAGTTTCAGGGGTGACTAGCTCATGCAAAAGAGGCAGTAACCAAGAAGGTAGGCTCAGGCAGAGGAACAGAAGTCTCTGGGGAGTGCTTGACATTGGTTGACTCAGGAGCTGATTGGTGCCTTGACAACAGGACTTCTGATAGGCCTGGCGGCTGCTACTCTGAATCTACTTCACCCTTTTCTTTTACTAGAGAAATCAACTATGAATTCATAAAAGACATTTGACATACAAAGCAAAACCTTTTGAACTGTTTTTTATTATTATTATTATTATTATTATTATTATTATTATTATTATTATTATTATT